GAGTCTGATCCCTAACATCACCAACAAACAATAACAGAAAGTTTGTACATAATGAGGACAGATCCATGTTTTCCAAATATTTTCAATCTATGCTTGGTAGAAGCACTTTGCCTGTGAAGCACTTAGCTTGTAGTACTTCATCCTTAACAGCAACACAGAGATTATTCCCCCCCTTTTTTTTTTTTTGGGTCCGGTCGTGGGGCCTGAACTCTGGGCCTGGCACTGTCCCTCAGCTCTTCAGCTCAAGGCTAGCACTCTACCACTGGAGCCACAGTGCCACTTCCAGCTTTTTTCTTTTTGCTTATGTGGTGCTGAGGAATCGAACCCAGGGCCTCAGGCATGCAAGGCAAGCGTTCTACCATTGAGCCACCTTCCCAGCCCTCCCTTTTTTCTTTTCAAGTTGACTTTTCAGTCCTGGGAATCAAACTCAGAGCCTCACTTACACTAAACATACACTCTACCACTGAATTACATCTCCAGCCTTGATTACCCCCACATTAACGATGATAACTAGAAAGGAGAAAAGTGCAGTCCCTTATTTAAGGAATAGAACTCATTTCCTAACTACTGCCTTTCAGCACCTGGCTGAACCATACCGCAGCCCAAATATATGCCTATTTGCCCTTATACAAATATCCTTCCATGTTCTCAACCAAATGGAAAAAGCGGATAAGAGCATTCTAGCTAAAAAAAACTCCATTGAAAGGCCTTGTTACCCAATCTCTTCACATGCTATTGTCAGACTTCACAAAGCCAGCATCATGGCAGTCTGCCTGGAAACTGGGGGCTGATGGGAAATGACTACTCCAATTACAAAATAAGTCAGAATCATAAAACAAATTTTAGTTTTTGATATTTTGTTCATCATGGATATTTTGCATTTTTTTTACTTTTTTATTAAGATTAAAAGATTACAAAATTTCACAAATTTCACAGTATTGTGGGATAGTGATACTTAGTTAAAGTCACAAACACATTTTAACCTTCATGAGGTGCATTGTCATTATTGTGGTCTATAAAACTTATGGTCTCTACAAACTTTGACACTACAGCTATTTTTTCCAAATGGGGTGAAAGGTACAGTTCTTTCCTTTTGCTTAGTGTCAGCTGTTCCCTCTTTCCCTTTCATTCCCTCCCTCCCATTGCTGCCCTTGAGTTGCTTAGTTCACTTTCATCAATGTCCAGTGCAGCGAATGGGCCCCTCTGTTGTATTTTTCCCCGTTTCCCTCTGATTCTGTGACCTCCTCCCTCAGATGTGTACATGTATATACCATATATGAGGTCAAGAACCTGGAGTCATCTAGAAATGATACCACAAATTAAGAAGAGGTCCTTTGTTTCTTGAGTCCTGATTACTTTGTCATATCTCCTTGCATTTTGGATTTAACATCCACATATCAGGGAGACCATGTGCCATTTGTCTCTGTTCTTGGCTTACCTCGCTCAACATGATTTGTTCTAGTTCCATCCATTTCCCTGCTAATACCATTATTTTTTCCTTTCTAATAGCTGTGTAATATTCTATTGTATATAGATACCACAATTTTTGGATCCATTCATTTATAGTGGGGTATCTGGGTTGTTTCCATATCTTGGTTACTGTGAACAGTGCTGCAATGAACATGGAGGTGCATGTGTCCTTGCATCCTGGTTCCTGTTGCTCAGGGTAGATGCCTAGGAGTGGTATGGTTAGAACACAGGGTAAGTCTATATGTAGCTTTCTGAGGAACCTCCCGACTGCTTTCCAGAGTGGTTGTATTAGTTTACATTCCCACAAGCAGTTTTGATTTCATTTTTTTTGGGTGGGGTCCGGTCGTGGGGCCTGAACTCTGGGCCTGGGTGCTGTCCCTCAGCTCTTCAGCTCAAGGTTAACGCTCTACCACTTGAACCACAGTGCCACTTCTGGCTTTTTTCTTTATGTGGTGCTGAGGAATCGAACCCAGGGCCTCAGGCATGCAAGGCAAGCACTCTACCACTGAGCCACCTTCCCAGACCCCCATTTTTATCTTTTTTTTTTTTTTTTTTGTTTTTTTTTTTTTTTTTGCCAGTCATGGTGCCTGAACTCTGGGCCTGGGCACTGTCCCTCAGCTCTTCAGCTCAAGGCTAACACTCTACCACTTGAGCCACAGCACCACTTCCAGTTTTTTTCTGCTTATGTGGTGCTGAGGAGTTGAACCCAGGGCCTCATGCATGCAAGGCAAGCGATCTACCACTGAGCCACCTTCCCAGCCCCCCATTTTTATCTTTTTAAAAAATATTCTGAATTAAGATGTTATTTATCTTATCAAGGTTTTGTTGTTGTTATTGTTGCTCATTTGTTTGTTTTTGCCTGAGAAGAATTCTTTATTCATTTCACCTTAATTTGGGTCCTGGCTAAAACCAAGTCTTGGCCTGAATGACACCAAGTGACATTCCTTACTGTCAACCTTCTCTAAATAGTACCCTTTGTAGGTGGCTACTGTCACCTGCATCCTTCTGTGAGTTTCACATGTCTCCATTTCTGGTAAGGATTCACATAGCTGACACAACTATGAAAGTACTTCATCTTCTCATCAGAAATACTGAATCATAAGGCTTGTGACACTGGAAATGGTTCCAAGTGTGGTAAATATAGTCACGTGTACTTGGAGACATCAGATGTTCTCTGCCCAACCTTAGTCACATCTGATGCAGAAACCACAAGTTCCTTACCATAGTGTGCTCCTCTGAGCTGATGGCTCGGAGAATCTAAGCTTCTCCAAGCACTGAGATGCTGAGAGCCTGGTTTTCCCATTGCTTACAGTGAGGAGGAGTCCTTAGCTCAGAAGTCCAGTCTTCAACTTTAAGAACCTGTAGTATTGCCAGGCACTGGTAGCTCACGCCTGTAATCCTAGCTACTCAGGAGGCTGAGATGTGAGGATTGCAATTAAAGCTAGCCTGGGCAGGAAAGTCTGAGACTCTTATCTCCAATTAACCACCAGATAATTGGAAGTGGCACTGTAGCTCAACTGGCAGAGCGCTAGCCTTGAGCTGAAGAGCTGAAGGACAGTGCCCAGGCCCAGAGTTCAGGCCCCACAACCAGAACCCCCCCCAAAAAAAAAAACTTTTGTTGAGGGACTCAGAAGTTGGCTCAGTGGTAGAGTGCTTGCCTCACGTGCATGAGGCCCCTGGGTCTGATTCCTCAGCACCACATAAGCAGAAAAAAGCGGTAAGTGGTGCTAGTCTTGAGCTGAAGAGCTGAGAAACAGTGCCCAGGCCACAGTTCAGTCCCCACAACCAACAACAACAACAAAAACCCAAACAACAACAACAACAAAACCCTTTTGTTGAAACATAATCATGTAACTCTTGCTTATGGTAAGGGAAAAAGAAAGGCAAATGCAGATCACAAGATGAGGAATGCTTCTCAAATACCTCTTTGAAGTACCTGCAAGAAGGGACCTCAAATTCCAATGTTTCCCCTTCACTTTTGGAACTTTTGCAAAAGAAAAAGGAAATTTGTGTGATTAGCTTAAGATGAGAAAGAAGTCAGAGAGACTATGCTACCTATATCAGGCATCCTTGCTGACTATTTCTGCTTGTACATGCACCTCCTCATTTTTAAGGGGGAAAAAGTATTTATCAAGAGCCTGATGGAGATCATGCATCCACTCCTGCCTTCTCCAACCCAAGTTCCAAACTGCAGCTGAAATAACCCTCTAAAAATTGCAAATATACTACTAGGATAAAACATGCTGCCTGTAAGGTGCTGACTGGCATTCCAATGCCTATTCAGTAGGTACATATAGCCAGGCACAGGTAGTACTGGCTCAGGCTAAGATCTGAGCATCACAATTGAAGCCAGCCTGGGAAGGAGAGTCTGTGAGACTCTTCAATTAATCACCAAAATGCAGGAAGTAGAGTGGCTCAAGTGGTATAGAGCCACAGCCTTGGCAAAAAAAAGTAACAGACAGTGCCTAGGATTTGAGTTCAATACCAGTACTGGCAAAAAAAAAAAAAAGAAAAGAAAAGAAAGGAAGGAAGAAAGAAAGGAAAGAAGGAAGAAAGGAAGGAAGAGAAAGAAAAGAGTATCATGTTATTCTCAGCCTAAACCCCTTACAGGGTCAAATGCAAACTTCACAGCCTGCCCCCATCCCTGCCTCCCACTACGTGTGGCATAGTGCTATGCTACGCCTTGCAAGCACCTTGTTTAATCTCTTCCAAGCAAAGCTAGGGCATTGTCCTAGCATGTACCCTTCCCTCTTCCTTAAACACTCTTTCCAGACCCAACTCATTGCAACAACTTCATCTTCAGATCCCTCCTTGCTTCCAGGCCCTCCCGGAGATTTCCTCCGTTTTACCTTCTTGCAGCACAACGTTGATCACAATTGTAAATCGCATGCAGTGTATTAAGTTGTTTGTGTTTGCCTCTCTTGCCAGGCTGTAAACTCCACCTGTCGAGGAATCGGGACAGGGTAGGTCCCTAATGAACGAGGCGGAATGAGTACCAATTTAAGTACGGACTCCTGTGGGTAACTGGCCATTCTAACGAGCAGCACCGGCTGCCCCCTCCTGTTCCTCTAAGCGGAAGGGAGAACAAAGGTGGGCGGTGGGTTTTAATTAATGTGAGTTTCAGGCTCTGCAAGGAGCCAGGCGCTGCGCGGTCTGGCTTAGGGTCAGAAGTGGCACCCGTCACGTGTACCCAGCTGAGCCAGCGGTCGCCGCACCCGGGGGCAGGAATGCGGCCCCGCCCGGCCTTCGCGCCAGTGAAACCACGCAGGTCCTGAGGACTGACGTCAATGAAGAGGGCTCCTCCGAGGGCGGAGCGAGCGCGGCGGGGCGGGCGGAAGGGCCCGCGAGGAACGCCCCCTCGTGGCTGTGCCGCCGTTGATTGGATGCAGCGAATCACCGCGCACGACTTTGGAGGCCGGAGCAGGGGGGGCAGGAGGGGGGTCTGGCTAGACACGCCCCTCCCCGGTTGCGCCCGCTGATTGGTCCTCGGGATCTCCGCGTTGGATTTTGGAAGGCTGGCTCCGGAGCTCGCAAGCCGGCTGGGGCAGAGGATTGGCAGTTCCGGGGCTCGCAAGCGATTTCTCCCGGGGAACTGTGGCTGTGATCCAGGCGACCCGAGCCAGCTTGGGGCTACGAGCGGCACGCCTTGGGCAACCAGGTACGTGGATTGGAGGGCTGGCTCCGTGGCGCCGGGAGCCACCTGGGTGCTGTTGTGTCGTCTACGGCTAGATACATTTAGGGATCCGTGAGGCTACCTCTGAGCCCCGCGGAGGGGGTGGGGGAGCGCCCGGCCACCGTGCTGGGGGGGGTCGCCGTGTGACCTCGGCCAGTATACCTTTTCCCGAGCTCTGGTCGGGTGTGTGACTGCCGCCCGGCCCTTGCCAGCACCTTCGCGGTAAGAAACCCAGCCCCGCACCGCCCTTTCGAATAGCCGTGGAGAGGCTGGGGATGGGCAAGTCTTAGCTTGCCCCATCGCGATCTGAGGTCTGTGCGAGCTGCCCTACAGAGTGGCGGCGCCCAGCCGGTCCTAACTCCATCGGTGTGCTGCTGAGGGCGCAGACGCTGGCTTGGGAGTCCTTGCCTTTGGATCTCTGGCGACTTCCCACACCTGCAGAAGCAGAGAGCAGACTCCAAGAGGTGTCAGAACCTTCTGGGCCCTTGTTTCCCCTGAACCTCTTCTGAGCCACCTGGCAGGAACAAAAATAACAAGGGTTGAGAGCGCGAATGCTGGGTTCGGACCAATTGATCCGTACATTCCAGTTTCTGTCACCTACCAGCTGTGAGATTTGGAGCAAGTTACTTAAACGTCGTGAGCTCATCTTTCTTATCTGTAGAATGAGTTTCACAATAACTACCTCCTCAGGGGTTGTTTGATGATGCCACCTCATGTAAGGACTAAAAAGACTCTCTGGAAATGCTCTGTTCTGTATGTGTCATCACAGTGCGGCAGTGTACATCTGTAATCACAGCTACTCTGGAGAAATAGGAGGATCGATGTTCCAGGCCAGTCTGGGCAAACAGAGGAAGACTGGATCTGGAAAACAAAGCAAAAAGGGCTGGGGGCGTGTCTCAAGTAGAGCTCTTGCCTACTAAGCCTGAAGCCCTGAATTAAAAACCATGTTGATAATAACAATAATAATAATACAGCTATGATTTTGTATGTGGGGGTTCTGGGGTTGAACTACTTGAGGACTTTGGCTGTTGTCCAGTGCCATGTATGTGCAGAGCTGAAGGCCAGTGTTGATATGGGCTTTGGGCCAGGGCTGCTAGTTATTTTTCTGAGAGGCTGTTGGCCTCTGATTATAGAGTTTATTGCTATTACTGGGGCTATTCAATGTGGACAAGCAGGGTAGGAACTAGGAGTTTCCCAGCTCACCCAAGTGTTTTCCACCTCTTGCACCTCCCCCAAACCTCTGGAGATAACCGCTGTCAGCCTGACTTCCCATGTTACTAAGAACTCTCAATTATGCATCCTATTTACATACTGCAGACGCATTGCTAGGTGAGTCACTTGTATGTGTATGTGTGTGTGTGTGCTCGCGCACGTGCCTGTGCACCAATGCCAGGGATTGCTTAAACTCAGGGCTTAGGAACTGCCTCTCAGCATTTTCACTCAAGGCTGACACTATCAGTTGAGCCACCTCTACTTCCAGATTTTTTTGCTGGTTAGTTGCAGATAAGAATATCATGGATTTTTTTTTTAATCTAGGCTAGCCTTGAACTCATATTCTCAGATCTCAGCTTCCAGTGTAGTGAGGATTACAGGCATGAACCATAGGCACTCCAGTTGGAGTGAGTCACTTTTTAAATACTTGTTTAAAACACTTTTTAAATAAATGTTAGAGCTCTACAGATCTTTATTTATTGCCTGATTCAAACCATGTGGAACTTTGACCTTTCAATGTTTGATATTATACTTTGGGCATTCACTTTGAACCCAGTTTATGTCAAATTGAAGTATTTTGCAATGAGTCTTTATCATTTGTGCACATACATGCTTATCTTCTTTTGTGGCAACTCTGAAATTAAAGATAGATTTGTAATCTTTTAATAGCCTTGTGGTTTCAGTTTCCAATTTTAAAAAGTGCCATTATTCAAGTATATACTGACCTTCCTGGATTAAGATCTTGTCCAGGAAATTAGGGGGAAACTATCTAGTCAATACATTAAATGAGACTAAAAGTTTCTTCTGATAATAAGTGTTCTGATCACCATTTCACCAAATTTCTCAGTTTTAACCCTACTTGGGATCTGCTTACATTCATTACCAGTCTTGCTCTGCCCTCTGAATCCCAGGAAGAGGCTCCCAGGAGTGACAGTCCCTAAAATCTAGAGGTACCAATCCCTCCCCCAGGCTCCCAGGGTATATAGTTGAGGCTGGACACTCACACTCTCCTAGATTGTTTCTTTTTTTTTGGGGGGGGGGTCGTGGGACCTGAACTCTGGGCCTGGGCGCTGTCCCTCAGCTCTTCAGCTCAAGGCTAGCCCTCTACCACTTGAGCCACAGCGCCACTTCCAGCTTTTTTCTTTTTGCTTGTGTGGTGCTGAGGAATCGAACCCAGGACCTCAGGCTTTCAAGGCAAGTGCTCTACCACTGAGCCACCTTCCCAGCCCCCCTAGATTGTTTCTTGTTGCTAGTTTGGAACTTGGCTGACTAGAGGCTGCCCAGTCTAGGCCTTGCTGCCCTGAAAAGGTTGCTGGGACTCTCTGGGAAGTCAGACCCCAAGCCATTTCCTCTCTGAAGACAGATGCTGCTGTCCTGCTGATCTTTGTTGCCTTTCTTTCCCTGGGGATAGAGGGAGATTGCCTGGGTCTGAGAGAAAGGACATCATTTCATCTTCTAGGCCAACAGAGGGGTCTATCTTCTGCTTGATCACTTTACAGCAGAGTGACTCTGACTGGATAATGATCCCACAGACCCCCTGTAGGAAGCTTCTGGTTTCTGACTTGGTAGGCACCTAATTAGCCACACTTGTCCATATACACAGTTCCTAGGGCCAGGGGACAAGAAGCTTTATGCTGGTTTTCCTGTCATATGTATGTTGAGTCTCCATACCAGGTGAGTTCTCACAGCAGGAAGGGAGAAACTGGCTTATAGAGATGATGTGAATTACCTGGTGTCTGCCAGCCAGTGAGTGGCAGGACCAGGGCTGGAATCCTGAGTCTTCTGATTCATGAGTCACTGCTCGGGCTAGTTCTAGAATTCTTTTGTGGAAGCTGGAGTTTTTCCTCTAAAGAGTGCTGCTTGTTCAAGGCCAAGAAAACAACCTTGATGCTAGTGCGCAGATGAAAATAAATTCCATGACTCCACCCTGTGGGATAATTTACTGTCCTTTGTCAGGATTTTCCCTTTGTGAGTTAGAGAAATGGGAATATATGTATTCTTGAGTTGAGTGGCTGCAATGGCAGCCACTATTTGAGAGGCTGAGGTTTGAGGGTCACTGTTTGAAGACAGCCCAGGCAGGAAAAGTCTGAGACATTTATCTCCAATTAATCAGCAAAAGGCCAGACATTGAGCTTTGGCTCCAGTTGTAGAGTGCTAGTCTTGAGCTGGGAGCGGGGAGTGCGTGACATCAAACATTAAGGGACAGCACCCAAGTCCTGAGTTCAGGCCCATGTATTGACATGCCAGACAAACAAACAAAGGAAAACACAGAACAAATATCCCATAGTCTGTTTCTATTTCTTCCTATCAGCCTGAAAGCGCTCCCTAGTTATTATTGCCTTCTGGTTACAGAATATTTATACCAGGAGCCTGAGGGAGTAGAGGTTAATTATCATACATACTAGGTTTTAACTGGATTCCCACAGTAATTCCTACAGGCAGTTTTTTACAGTCCTATTTTCCAGGTGAAATATACAATGCTTATGAAGTTAAATATATCATCTAGATGTCTTTTGTGTGTTTATTTTAGGCATTGAATCTTTTGAAATGAGAGTGGGTTTCTAAGATAGAAACTGGGACAGAGTTGAGTGTGGAAATTACTGGAATAAGGAGGGTGGTTATGAGGTGAGGTGGAGGGAAGGCCGGGGCAGAGTAGGGGATAATCATTCTAGGAGGAGGCTGAATGGGGTGGAGAGATGACTCAAACTCTCCAGGGAACAAAAGAACAAATGGCAGGTTAGGTTAGTTTAGGATAAGGGTTGCTTTCAGCAAGTGGGTTGAGCAAAGGATTCTGGAAATGTTTTTATTTATGTAGCTCCCTGCTGTTTTCTTCCTTTCCACTGAGTACATACATTTGTTTGAATATATTTGAACTTTTCTTTGATGCTGGACAGCCACCTCCAGCAGCAGCAGGCTCCTCTATGAAGGAGCCCAGCTTAGGCCTGGGAAAGAGCAGGACCTGCCCCTCCCCATCAGGAATGGAGTGAGAGAGCGAAGGAGAAAGCACAGGCCGCCCTCAGCTGACTCTGGCCACACTACCTGAGGGAAGTGTAGGGTCCACATCAAACCCCTGATGTAAATACAACAGCCAGAGAGGCCAAAAAAGGACATTTACATTTGCTTTGATTGTTGGGAGTGTGAGAAAAAGCAGTCTTAGGAAAGTTCTGTCAAGGGCTGGGAAGGTGGCTCAGTGGTAGAGTGCTTGCCTTGCGTGCATGAAGCCCTAGGTTCAATTCCTCAGTACCACATACACAGAAAAAGCCGGAAGTGGAGTGTGGTTCAAGTGGTAGAGCGCTAGCCTTGAGCTGAAGAGCTGAGGGACAGCACCCAGGCCCAGAGTTCAAGCCCCCATGACCAAAAAATAAAATAAAATAAAAAATAAATTAATTACCAGGTGTGCTGCTTGTGACCAGGTAATCATGTTAGGGAGATAAATCTTTTTTTTTTGGGGGGGGGTCTGGCCATGGGGGCTGAACTCTGGGCCTGGGCGCTGACCCTTAGCTCTTCAGCTCAAGGCTAGCGCTCTACCACTTGAGCCACAGCGCCACTTCTAGCTTTTTTATTTTTGCTTATGTGGTGCTGAGGAATCGAACCCAGGGCCTCATTCATGCAAGGCAAGCGCTCTACCACTGAGCCACCTTCCCAGCCCAAGGGAGATAAATCTTTATTAAAAGAGCTAAAAGAATAAAACTGTAACTACCAAGTGTACTGCTTGTCAGAGAAATCTTTATGGATGGAGTTAAGAGGAATAAAGACCCCCTTTTGAGTAGGAGCTTCCCATTGATCTCATCGGCCTCTTCCAACTATATCTGCCAGCCACCCTGTTCCCAGTCCCACTCCCATCCTGCTGTGATGGAAAAACAAACAAACAAATGGTAAATCATTGAGAAAAATGGAAGAATAGCCCCCTTTCTAGTCTTGGTTGTCAATTGTACCTAGACTGTGAGCCTAACTCCTTGACAAGAAGGATGGACAGTCTAGACTGGGATAAAAACCTAGCACAGTGCTCTGTCTCATGTGCCTGCCTACCTCTGGGTAGAGAAACCGTATTGCATGTACTCTTTTGTGCAAAAGTAAACTACCTTGCCAGGCACTGGTGGCTCATGCCTGTAATCCTAGCTATAGGAGACTGAGATCTGAGGATCATGGCTCAAAGCCAGCCTGGGCAGAAAAGTCCCCATGAGACTCTTATCTCCAATTAACCACTCAAAAACTGGAAGTGAGCTGGGCATTGGTGGCTCACGCCTGTAATCCTAGCTACTCAGGAGGCTGAGATCTGAGGATCACGGTTTAAAGCCAGCCTGGGCAGGAAAGTCTGTGAGACTCTTATCTCCAATAAACCACTAGAAAACCAGAAGTGGTGCTGTGGATCAAGCGGTAGAATGATCTCCTTGAGCTGAAGAGCGCAGGGACAGAGCCCAAGCCCCATGACCGACCAAAAAAAATCCTACAAAAACTAGAAGTGGCACTTTGGATCAAGTGCTAGTCTTGAGCAAAGATGCTCAGGGACTGTGCCCAAGCCCTGAGTTCAAGACCTGCAATTGACCAAAAAAAAAAAGTAAATTGCCTTGACAAAATCTCTCGTTTTATATCTTTTGTGTGTCTATTCATTTCTGACACTGGAGAGTTGTGTATTTCTTTTCTTTCTTTCTTTTTTTTTTTTCTTTGGGTCCGGTCGTGGGGCCTGAACTCTGGGCCTGGGCGCTGTCCCTCAGCTCTTCAGCTCAAGGCTAGCTAGCGCTCTACCACTTGAGCCATAGCGCCACTTCCGGCTTTTTTTCTTTTTTGCTTATGTGGTGCTGGGGAATCGAACCCAGGGCCTCAGGCATGCAAGGCAAGCGCTCTACCACTGAGCCACCTTCCCAGCCCCAGAGTTGTGTATTTCTAACATTTGACTGATACCACATCAAGCTCATTTAATCTCTATCATTTTTCTGAAAAGTGAGTATTACCGCCCCCCACCCCCCATTTTTACTAAGGAAACAGGCTTAGAGAGGTTGAATAAATTGAAAGGTGTATTCAGGTTGAGCATTCCTAATCTGAAAATACGAAGTTCGAAATGCTCCAAAATCCAAAAGTTTGAATACAGACATAACCCCACAAGTGGAAAACTCCACACCATGAAACCTTATTTCACATACAAAATGACTTAAAATGTTGTATAAATTATCTGCAGGCTGTGTGTATGACATATAGAAAACGTAAACTATTTGTTTTTCAACTTGGATCTTGTTCTCCAAATATTTCATTGTATGTGTACAACTAATCAAAAAAATCTAAAAAAATCCAACATCCCAAGCATTTGGGGGGAGAAAGTCAATCTATGACAGAACCCTGTGCACAGTTTTAATCACTTTGGTCTTTGCCTTATCCCTACAAAGTCTGTCCTATTGCCAGCAGTTAGGGCATGAAGAGCCCTGAGCCAGGAAATGGCAAAGGAGACTTCCAGTCATAGTAGCCCAGTTCCAAACCCCTCTCTCACCTCTAAGCCACCGACCCTGGCCTCTGCATCATTGTCTGATTCAGTTCCAGTGGCACACTGCAGATCATGTAACCTCTCTTCCGCAGGTTCTCCTTCTAATGGGATAAAAGGACCTACCTCATAAGATCGCTGTGCATAGCACAGAGCTTCTATAGAGAAAGCTCTTACAGCAGCATGTGCTTAGTACTCAATAGATTTGGGGTCTTATGGACTGGAGAACAGGTCCCACATTTATATAGGCTTTGTGATATAACAAGTCATTTAACCTGAGTGGCACCTCGTCTGTAAAATGGGGGCAAGCAGCAATTGATTGCAGTTGCTATGAATTAAAAAAAAAGTCCAGGTATCTGATACAAGCACTTTGTATCTGATACAAGCACTTAAAAAGTTTTGCAGTAGCCAGGCGCTGGTGGCTCATGCCTGTAATCATTGCTACTCAGGAGGCTGAGATCTGAGGATCGAGGTTCAAAGCCAGCCCAGGCAGGAAAGTCCATGAGACTCTTATCTCCAATAATCCACTCAGAAAACTAGAAGTGGTGCTGTGGCTCAACTGGTAGAGTACTTGCCTTGAGCTGAAGAGCTGAGGGACAGCGCCCAGGCCCAGAGTTCAAGCCCCATGACTGCGTGTCTCCCCCACCCCCTCCAAAAAAAAAGTTTTGCTGTAACAATGAGATGTACAAGACACTATGTTGAAAATGAACTTTACAACTTTGGTGAGGGGGGAGGGAGAAGTAGGGGAGATGGGAAGAGAAGGAATGGTAGTGGAAAAACAGAGGGGTAACAATGCTCAACAGGAAATGTACTCATTATCTTACTCATGTAACTGTAAGCCCTCTGTATAGTATCTTTACAATAAAAAATATATATTAAAATTTTTTAAAAGAAAGTTTTGCTGCTGGGCACTGGTGGCTCATACCTGTAAATCCTAGCTACTCAGGAGACTGAGATCTAAGGATCACAGTTCAAAGCCAGCCCAGGCAGGAAAGTCCTTGAGGCATGTATCTCCAATAAACCACCAGAAAACCAGAAGTGGCGCTGCAGCTCAAGTGGTAGAGTGTTCACCTTGATCTGTAAGTGTTCAGGGACAATGCCCCAGCCAAGTTCAAGCCCCACGACCGACCCCCCCCCAAAAAAAAAACTTTTGCTGTCAATTTTTATATTATCTCCACAAAGTATCCTGAGAATCTAGCATGGTTCCAAGGCAAGACCCTTCCTATAGTTTAAATCCTGGGGAAGGGAGAACTTTGCGTCAGGACCACAGCTTTTGGAAAGGCCTGCTGCAAACTGATGTCTGCATGGTTTATGTCCACAGAGCACCCATAATGGGCACCCCAGCCTCTGTGGTAAGTGAACCACCCACTTGGCAGGCCCCCACTGAGGCCCGGGGCCGCAAGCAGGCATCTGCCAACATCTTCCAGGATGCTGAGCTCCTGCAAATCCAGAGCCTGTTTCAGCGCAGCGGGGACCAGCTGGCTGAGGAGCGGGCCCAGATCATCTGGGAGTGTGCTGGGGACCACCGTGTGGCAGAGGCCCTGAGGAGGCTACGCAGGAAGAGGACCCCAAAGCAGAATGTCCTGGGCCACTCACTCCACCACTGCAGCCGGCTCAGGTGAGTGCCTGGGACTGAGGGGCTAAGGAAAGGGTAGCAGTGATGTCTGGGCTGTGTGACTCGGAACTGGTGTCACTGGAAAATGCTTACTATTGGGGTTGCTGGAAGCACCACACATTGCCACTTGGTTCCACCTGGAAGACTGCTTTTTGGGTGCTGGAATCATATGACTATGAAATTCAAATAGGAAGAAGTCATGTTACTCTGTCACTCCTATGGGATGAGGTGTCTGGTTCTAGCAGTACCACCATACTTTATGACATTTGTCCTCTAGGAGGGAGAACTGTTCAGAAGAAAAAGAATCGTTCCCCTGTAGAATAGGTAATACTCAATAGGACTGGGATTGTACCTTTGTGCTAAAGTGCTTGCCTCGCATGCATGAGGCCCTGGGTTCGATTCCTCAGTACCACATAAGCAAAGAAGGCTGGAAGTGGTACTGTGGCTCGAATGGTAGAGTGTTAGCCTTGAGCAAAAGAAGCCCAGGGACAGTGCCCAGGCCCTGATTCAAGCCTCAGGACTGGCAAAAAGAAAAAGAAAGCTGGTTAAAAGCTTGTGTCTGGGAACACAAGAGACTGCAGCAGAGGAATGTACTGCCGAAGCACCATACGTTGTAAGTTGTAGAAACCATACCTTGAAGTGACATCTTCCGTCATCCATCGTTGCCCAGGAGCTGCAAACTCCAGGGAGATTTGAACCGCCTGGCCTATGACTATCACAACAGGCACCTCCCCTCTGTGCTCTCCATTCCCCCTCGAATGTAAGACCCGAATAGCTCATCAGGTCTGAGATGCCAAGTCAGCTTCACTGCTTGAATGAACTCCAAGTCATCGGCAATCACTGCTTAAAACCTTAGTGTCAACTGGGCGATGGTGGCTCACACCTGTCATCATCCTAGCTACTCAAGAAACTGAGATCTGAGGATCATGGTTCAAAGCCAGAACAGGCAGGAAAGTCCCTAAGACTTGTATCTCCCATTAACCACCAGAAAACCGGAAGTGGAGCTGTGGCTCAAAGTGGTGGGGTGCTAGCCTTGAGCAAAAGGGCTCAGGGACAGTGCCCAGGCCCTGAGTTCAAGCCCACAACTGACAAACCAACAAACCCTAGTGTCACTGTCTAATGAGTGCAAGATAAAGGTAAAAGTAAACTAAGTCTCCCATTCTTTGATCTAAGAATTTGGATTTGAACTCAGGATCTTGAGCTTACTAAGCAGATGTTTGCCCCTAGCTTAAAGCATGAAGCATATCCCCAGCCCTTTTTGCTACCACTATTTTTTTTTAATACGTTCTCACTTTTGCCAGCTTCACCACCATCTTTGTATTTGCATTTTCCATGAAGCTGGAATGACAGGTACATACAACCATGCCTAGTTGTTGGTTGAGATGGGGCCTCATGCACTTTCTTATTCTGATCCTCCTAACTTCTACCTTCCAAGTAGCTAAGATTACATTCATGAGCCAGACCAATACTCTTCGTAACAGAAATCTGAAAGTTTTGCCTAGTCATACATTTCTTAGGGGGCAGAAATGAGACCAGAAACCTGGCTCATTTTGCCATGAACAGTGTTTTATACTCCATCATGAGGACACTCAAAATACAAGCCTCTATCCTATTCTTCCTATTGATGTTGGCTTATCGTATACTTATTTCCAGCAGAGTTCCAGAGCCTAGCACTCCACTGACCAACCCACACAGCATGTCTACTGAGACAACCTCCAGTGAGCAGTTTGGCAAGTCCCAGAGAACAAGCACCAGGATCCGCCGGAATTGGAGGAAGCCAGACCCCACAGGCTACCTTCACCAGATCAGACACTGATCACTGGGAGGTGCCAGGAATGGCAGCATCCTCCACAGGAGTCACAGGAACTTTGGCCTAAAGGCCTCAGGAGGTGAAGGGAGACCTGAGGCAAGAAGTCCTTTCTGGGTAAATGAAGCAGGTGACCACTGCCACCACCTGCTCAGCTCAGAATAAGTCCACTGGACTTTGTATTTTATGGGATCCATTGTCGCCTGAGTAAGGAGACATCAGAACTGCTCCTGCCTCAAGCCTGCCCTGACCTAGCACTGTAATTGGGCTGCATGATATTCCCCTAGGAGTCCAGGAATGGATACTCCTGTGCAGCCTCTCACCACTTGTCACTAATGTGCCAGCTACCCATTGTCACCGTAGTCCAATAGGCTGCCATCAGGCAGCACAAGGAAACCACAGCTTAATGAGCAAATAAAACATTTGCATCAAGAACTGTGTGAGTATGTAGTAAAATGGAGGGCTCTCTCTTGTGGGAATTCCCGCAGAAGGCTAATTGGGGCAGGCTTCTGCTCTTTCTACCATATCCTAAAGCCCCTGTGCTTCAGCTTCCTTTTCTAGAGGGTCCAGAAGACATGTGGGAGGGTCTCTAGATAGTCTTGATGTGCAGGAAAGGGCAGAGGGAAGGCTGTGTCAGTTGGCCCCACACAACAGGCATTGGCCTGTTGCAAAAAGCAGCAAACACCAGCTCTTCAGATGGCTTTATCCTTATGGGCCAATCATTCTATGGTAGGGAAAGAGATCAATCATTCTTTATGTGCCTGTACTATCCTAAGTATCCCACGGCCTGGAAACCTTGGGATGAGGTTTTCTCCTACTGTTCTGGCTCCACCTCAAAAGAAACAGACTGTATGCTCATTAGCATTCTTCCCCCTCCTACCTGCTTGATTATTCATCCATTACTTAAAGGAGCCAGCGGTCAACAAGGCAATGATACACACATAGGACAAGGTTGCCCTCTAGTGACCAAGAAAATCCATCCTCGTACCCCTTGGGACAAGATGACCCTTTGATAGTTCTGGGGTATGAAGCAGTCAGTGCAATTATTATATAGTCCCTATTAAGAGAGGGGAAAAGTCTGAAGGTGGCTCAGTGGTAAAGTGCTTGCCTTGCATGCATGAGGTTCTAGGTTCGATTCCTCAGTACCACATAAGCAAAAAAAGCTGGAAGTGGGAGTTCAGGCCCCACAATCGGCCAAAAAAAAAAAAAAATCAAAGAGAGAAACATTTCTACAATAAATATTCACACCAACGCCTATGTATGATTAACAATAGTATTATGTCAATGTAGACTCAGGTCAGGCTCTGAAATAAGTTATGAAAACACTTCACTTTTCAGAGCACTGGGACTTGTACTTTCCTCTACTAGGGAGAGGTAACTTCAGGGGTTTCCACAACTCTGCAGAAACACAGGTTTCCTTGTCCTTAAAAATGCACTCTACCTTGTCTTCCTGCCCCCAAAGAATACCAGCCAAAAAGGTCAGAACTTGATTTGTTATTCATACATTTGCATTGATTTAAATACATTACATACAATTTCTACAGTGCATTAGAAGACCAATAGAGGGCAGCAGCAGCGCACAGCCCACCCTCCACTGCCAGAGAAGGGCAGGCAAGTGGGCAGGACAGCTATTCTAGAAGTGTCACCCAGAAGCCTGCCCAGGCACTCTGAGCCTCTACCCCTCCCAAAGTCCACATTCAAGGCAACCTGAGTACAGGCTTCAAGGGAGAGAAGAGATGGGCCAGGAAAGGACCAGCCTACACTCTTGCCTGCAGGCCTAGAACTAGGCTCCCCCTTAAATTGGACCCAATTTCCTTCAAGTTGCAGGGCTGGTCTGGAGCTGGACAGTGCAGATGAGGCTGGTGAAGCATTAGGCTCCTCTTCAGGCACCCCTGGCTCTCCTGAGCACCCCAGTGGGGAGCCTTGCCAGCAGGTTTACATGATGTGTCTGTGGAGAGTGATGCACACCTAGGCTCCTTCCTGGCTTGTGTGGTCAGGAGGCAACTATTCTCTTAAATCTGCTTCCCCAGGCCAGAGTCCAGGTGGGCGGAATGGGACTGTCAGGACAGGGCAGGTGGTGGCGTAGTGTCTGTCCACAGGGCATGCATATCTAGGGCTCAAACTTCCTGTCAGCTGGGTGAGGACAAGCTGACTCTTGAGCTGGAATGGACGGCGAGGCAGTCTGGCCCGGTTCACAGGAGGGCTGAAATTTCTGCTATGCCTCCTGGATGGTGGGAGGTGGACAGGCAGAGGAGACACATAGCAATGGCCCTCGCTCCCTTTCTTTGGCTGTTTTCAAACCTTCAAGATAGTTTCTTTTCAAGGCTGATTGACCAGTCGCAGGATACAAGAACCACAGGTGTCCACAGCACAGACCATGAACACAGCTGCCCCTCAGCCATAGGTGACTCCCTTTTACTCCCTCCTGAGGCCATTCTTTGCTTTGGTGTAGAAAGGGCTTGAACACCTGGCAAGGGGGGACAGCTGGGAGAAGACACATGGAAGCAAAGAGATACACACTGAGCTGGGCAGGCACTGGGGACGATTTGCAGATCTCTCTCCTTTGGGCTCAAACTTTTTCAAAAAGCCATGAAGAAACAAGCCCAGGACAGAAGCCAGGGAGCAAAGGGAAACTGCCAATTAGGAGACAGAATCCCAAGTCAAGCTGCCTCCACCACAAGCAGCAGTAACATTAAAGAAGCCCAGGGACCTGGTATCCTGGCCTCTTAGGAGCCAGTTTATTCCAGAATACTCCCAGAGACCCACCCCCAGAACCTAAACTGAACTCCTAAGTCAAAAGAGTTGGAAAAATATATGTAAAACAACAAAAACAAGTCTGAAGAGGACTAGGACTCAGGAAGCAAGGCTGGGATAGGTCCATTCATGACCACTCCCAGCTCCCGGCATAAACTTAGGCCGTGTGGATCATCTTCACAGGCAGGGAGCCAACTTCCCATTAAAACAGAAACACTAAGGCTAGCTCTCCTGCCTCTGCTTGAATGACAGCAAGCCATAGCATGGCAGAGAACAGAGAGCATCTATAAATCACATGTAGAACTGCTGGAAGGGCAGAGCAAAAGCTGCCCTCCACAAGGAGCCAGTACTGCATGATTAAGAGGAAAAGGGGAAAATTTGGCAAAGATGGAAAGGTGAGGCTTCTGTCCCAGCACTGTGAGCCACCCAGTGGCCCTCTGATTGGTTCATGGGAGTAAGTACCCAAATGTCTGGGTCGATGCAAATTTTGAATTCAAGGCTTCTGACATGATAGGAACTGGATTCTGCTACAAGCATTGAAATTTGTTTTGTTTTGTTTTTCTTTCTGATGCAGAATATAATAGGGAATTGCAATGAAGCAGGGTGTCAGGGAAGGAGGGACTTTCCCAACCTGCCTCCAGGAGGCCGCTGTAAGGGCACTGCTCCTCTGCAGCCACCTGGACTCCCTGCTTGGAACTCCAGCCTCCCCAGCACTGGGAAGGGCCCAGGAGCACTCTCGTCCCTGATTGTGCTTCTCCCTGTGGGTGGGAAAGCCCCAAGGGAGGCTTCGAACAGGAGGGAGGACTCTGAAAGGCGATGCTGTCCACAGACTTCTCTGGCTTCCTTGTACCTAGGTCTCCAGGCTTCCTCCCAGCCTCTGTCTCACACAGGTTTTCCTTTGCCTGCCTCTAAGGCTACCACCATGAAAAGAAAGGCTTCCGACTCTGAAAGCTCTGTGTGTAGGACTCGCTAGCAGACCGCTGGTGGGAACGCGCTGTCTCGACAATCACAGGCGGCATCTGGACGAGGTGCAGGGGACTCTTGTTGTCTTTCAGTGCCTGGGTCAGATTTAGGATCTGCAATAGGAAAAAGAAGGGTGAGGGAAGGGCCTGAGCTGTACAGATCTGGCCTCTGGCAGGAAGAACAGCAGACAGAGCTCTTCTACAAATCAATAAGAAATAATAAACACCAGTGGAAAATCATGGAAACTATAATAGTAGGAATATAAATGGGCATTAAGGGGCATATGGTCACTTTAAAAAAATACAGATGAAGGGCTGGGAAGGTGGCTCAGTGGTAGAGTGCTTGCCTTGCATGCATGAAGCCCTGGGTTCGATTCCTCAGCACCATATAAGCAGAAAAAGCCAGAAGTGGAGTTGTGGCTCAAGTGGTAGGATGCTAGCCCTGAGCTGGAGAGCTGAGGGACAGTGCCCAGGCCCAGAGTTCAGGCCTCATGACTGACAAAAAACAAATGAAGCCTCTCATGCCTGTAATCCTAGCTACTTAAGAGGCTTGAGATCTGAGGATCGCAGTTCAAAGCCACCCAGGCAGTTAAGTCTGTGAGACTCTTTTTTTCCTTTTTTATTTTTATTTTTTTTTCCCAGTTGTGGGGCTTGAACTCGGCCTGGGCGCTGTCCCTCAGCTCTTCAGCTCAAGGCAAGCATTCTACCACTTGAGCCACAGCGCCACTTCTGGTTTTCTGGTGGTTTACTGGAGATAAGAGTCTCACAGAGTTTCCTGCCCAGGATGGCTTTGAACCGTGATCCTCAGATCACAGCCTCCTGACTAGCTAGGATTTCAGGTGTGAGCAACTGGCACCCGGCTATGTGAGACTCTTATCTCCAAGAAACCACCAGAAAACCAGAAGTGGTGCTGTGGTTCAAAGTGGCAGAGCTATAGTCTTGAGCAAAAAAAGCTCAGGGACAGCACTCAGGCCCTGAGTTCAAGCCCCATGACTGACAAAAAAAATAAATAGTAATAATACAAATGAGAAGCTGGGCATAATGGCATGCACCTGTGGTCCCAGCTAAAGCAGGAAGATCACTTGAACCCAAGAGTTGAGAGACCACCCTGGGGTACTATCTCACAACAAAAATGAAAACAAATGCTTCCTTTTTTTTTTTTGCCCTTGTTAAGTAAAGTTCATAACCTTGGAAGTGGAGAGAGTTCAAAGAAACAGGCACTGTCCTGCATGCCGATGGTACTGGACAAGGCAGAAAGGCAAGCTGACAAAGCTTAAAAATGAACAGATCCTCTCGCATTCACACACAGTGAGGATAGTCTTAGAAGAGGAACACAAAAGTGCAATGCCTATGTGTCTCTGATCATATAAAATAGTGTTTACTGAAATGACCTCCAGGAAACAGAAATGAGATTTTTTGGTTTGGTTTGGTTCTTTTTTCTTTTTCGGACTGTTCAACTATACG